TTTATCCTGCATGGTGGGAGGTCGATAAGGTTAGTATTTATTTTAGATTGAGTTTAAAGGTTTTATGAAATAAGTGCGCAAATGAATGAATTATTACTTATGATTGCAGGTGTTTATCCCTGTTTTGGAACGTAAACATTGGATTCTCGTCGAGCTTCAGCTCCCATCCCTTAAGACAATAGTGTATGACAGCATGATAAATTACATATCATTGGCTGATTTAAGAGATGTTATTAAGGGATGGAGCTCTCATTTGGCTAAATTCTTGGATGCGATCAATTATTGGACTCGTTCTGGAAACAAGAAGCCAAAGAAGCTCAATATTACAGTTATTAGAGACGAGACCGCGCCACAACAAACGAGCGGAGCCAGAGGAGATTGTGGTCCTCTCGTATGCTTGGCGTTGGAGCGTTTGACGACGGGAAGCATCAAGTATCTACCTCCCACCGATAGAGATAGAGCTGCAGTAGGCTTGTGGTTTCGGCATTATATGGCTAAATCGATATATACGAGACGCTGCCTACCTGCATCCGCGTTATAAAAATGTCCATAAACAATTGGTAAGTTTATATACTTTTGGTTTGAAAATGTTTGGTTAAGTACCTAGAATTCAATAATTTGATGTTTGTAGGTTTTAGATGTGTAGAAAGTGTTGTTTGAGCAAATGTTTGGTTTCTGCAGGTTAATCTCAGAAGTGAACTGCGTGAAAATGATGTATGGCTGCAAAAGTTGATTCAATAGTTTAATTGATTATTTTTTGATTGTTTAATTGATTTGTAAAAGTTGATTCAATAGTAGATGATCGGAAATAAGAATTATTGCTTATTTTTTGATTGTTTAATTGATTTGTAAAAGATGATTTGTAAAAGTTGATTTGTGTAATTGATGCGAATATAATTCTTATTTGTGCTTGTTTAATTGATTGAAATGTAATGGTTGATTTTGTTGATTTCAATCTGCATTATGTTGAAGGCAAAATTGACTATCGCAATGCGAAATGAAAATCGCAATGCGAAATGAAAATCGCAACGAGAGAATCGCAATGCGAAATGAAAATCGCAATGCGGAAATGAAAATCGCAACGAGAGAATCGCAATGCGATTTTCATTTCGCATTGCGATTCTCTCGTTGCGATTGTAATTTCCGTGTTGCGATAGTCAAATGCATGCCTAATAGTGATAACAACTGAATAACAAGAGTTGGTTAAGTCAAAATGGTTGGCCTGAGTCATTAATTCAACTGAAAATGTTAAAAGTTCACACATAAAATCCACATAATACAACGTTTGCATTTAAAAATCACCTAAGTTAACAGTCCCAAAAGGTGAAGCCAATTGTGATTGGGATTTTGAAGATGGTTGCCTTTTGCTTGACACCATATGAGCTTTGGATTTTGATGAGGATCCATATTTTGGTAGAGGAAAAGATGATTTTGATGGCACTGGTGATCCACATGTCAACCTTGTATGACCACTTTCCTTTCACCGACTACATGTCGATCTCTTATTCTCTTCACCCTTAGACGGTATACGATCGTGACTTTTTGGTCGGCCAGGTAGCCTTCTGTCCATGGCTGGTGGCAAAACTGTTTGTAAGTCATCTGGTATGTCCCACTCAGAAGGATGTGGAATAGGGTAGACAATCTCGGCATAAGTCTGTCGATAAACTTCTGTAGTGTAGCAATCCATAGCGTATGCGCTTGAATCATCTTGGTTTAAATGAAGAGCAACTTTTATAACATGGCCACACGGATAACCAGATGTTTGCCATTTCATACAACTACACGTCTTTGCATTTAGATCGACTAGCCCATTTAAGTTATTATCCAGTACTTGAAACAAAGTGTTTGAACATGGTTCAACTCTCCATGACGTTGACTTCACAACACGTTTCGTTATCTTTTTTTCAGTCCATGGTGTAACACGATGTTCCAATGTTCCTGTAAATTTAAATAAACAATACTTAGTAAAATATATAAATATGATAAGTTACGAATTCAAAGAAATAATACCTGCATGGTTTCTTTTCTTGTAGTACCACTGTTGAATAGAGGCTCGAAAAAACTCCATTAACATAGTAATAGGTAATTTCCGGGAATGACGACTTAGAGCGTTGATTGATTCTGCACTATTAGACGTCATGAAACCATATCTTGCTCCAAGTTGATGTACTCTTGACCATCTTTCAAACCCGACATCTTCTAGTGTTTGAGCACACTGAGGCAAAACACGTCTTAAACAATTTATATGCTTATTGAAATCCACTTCCCGATAAGCTTTTACAGCCTTCCAGTATGTCCATTTGTGCTTTTTTATACCAGCAGACCTTGATTTTAGATTTCTATACAAATGAACACCACAAAGTCCATGAAAAACATCTGGGAAACACCTTCTAACAGCGTTGTCAATTGAGTTTGCCCTATCGGATATGATTGTCAGATTGCTAATAGGACCTATGCAATCCCTAAGATGCCCCATAAACCATGTCCATGAATCAGAGGTTTCAGATTTGCCAACCCCGTAAGCTATTGGCAATATCCCATTGTTAGCATCCATGGCTACTGCTAATAAGTTTACTCCAAGGTATCGACCTTTCAAATGTGCTCCGTCAACTATAATAACTGGGCGCATGCAAGTAATAAACGAACGAATCTACAAATAATATACACAAGAAATATAATCATTTAAATGTGAAATGCATGTAACTAACAAAAATGAGTCAACAAAATTATATTGATTTACTAACCGTAGCACCAATGGCGATAAACAGCAACTCAAAGCGTCCATCTCTATCTGTTTTGATATGAGTTACCGACCCAGGATTTTTCAGCTTTAAATTGTGACAATAAGCCGACAGTTGGGCAAACGATGCTTCTGGCGACCCCCTCAACAATTCCAAGGCATAACATTTGGCTCTCCAAGCTTGAGAATATGATATACTAATCTTGAACCGAGCATTCATGTCAGTCATAATTTCATGTCCCCGATATACCCTGCCATTCAAAAACATTAACTCAGCCAGAAAACCACCCAACACCTTTTTGTTTGCCTGTCTATGGTGAGGAAAAACTTGGGTTCTTGAACATGTATGTTTATCAATAAAAGTCCTAACTTGAAACATTTTGCAATCTTTTATTCTCTTTGCAATCATACGCCACGTACAGTTTTTGTCAATCATACACCTTGTTTCGAAACGATCTTTGCTTGATTTGTTAACTTTTAGTTGATAGCCATCTTCCACACATTTCGTATACAAAGCTATCTTCAAGTCTTCCTTTGTATCAAAACAATCATCTTTCTTGACACGAATAACTTTTGTGTAACAATCAACTGCTTTCTTTGCCAACTCTTCTTCCGGTAACTGAAGTAATTCTGGCATATTCCAGTTATACTCCCGTGGCATTTTCTTTTCTTCGGGGACTTTTTCTTCTTCTTTTTCTTCTTCAGGATTATATGAATTACAGAATGGATGTTCAACATGTTCATTCACAGTCGTAACTTCCTCCTCATTATCATCAACAACATCTTCCTCGGCAACGGGTGTTTCATCATCAAATTCGGGTATTGACCAATATTAAAATCATTACACACATGGTCTGTTTCTTCTTCTGAAACATCATCAAAATCCGTGTATTGACCAATATCAAAGTCCGGATATTGACCAAGACCAAATTTCGAATACTGACTAGTACTCACAATTTTTTCTGTTGGCTCATCATCGTCTAACTGGTCAATACGAAAACCGGAATTTGGTGCTGAAAGTTGATTGGGATTTGGATTAGAGAAAGGTTGTGGGTTTTGAGAAAAACTTAGTTGATTACTACCCGCTACTGACCCAACAATACTACTTCTAGGTTCAACAACATACAATGTAACATCATCTTGTGAAACACTAATGTAAGCAATGAATCGTTCAACATCTTCATTGTCGGTTAACAAATAAACTTTACCATTTCTCTGATAAGATAGCCTAAATCCACTTAGGGGCTCTAAATTCAATTTATTTGAAACACGTAGCATTAGAGTTTCATAAGTTAACTTTTGTAAAGACAATTTTAGTTGAAGATTCATGGGTAAAGGCATATATTGTAAAACACCATGAACATTATCCCATGACCCTCCAAAACACAAATCTATCCAAACATGATCAACATTAGATGATTTCATGGTTGTAAATTAATTTACTAAACAGACGAGCTGCGAAACTAAAACCTGTTGCCGGATTGGGAAGGATGTCGTTGGATATAGGAACGGATGTCGCCGGAGAGAGTGATAGATGGAGATGGAATGAGTTGCGATTTAGGGATTTAGTTTATGATTTCAGTGTTATATACCCAAAATTTCAGTGTTGTGATTTACAGATTCTCGTTGCGATTTACGGATTATCGTTGCGATTTACAGATTCTCGTTGCGATTTACGGATTATCGTTGCGATTTACAGATTCTCGTTGCGATTTACGGATTATCGTTGCGATTTACGGATACGCGTTGCGATATACGGATACGCATTGCGATTTACGGATACGCGTTGCGATATACGGATACACGTTGCGATTTATGTGTTCGCGTTGCGATTTTCATATTCGCGTTGCGATTTTGGAAAATCGCAATGCGAATTTGTACTATCGCATTGCGATTTTCAAGAATCGCGTTGCGATTTTGGAAACTGATTTGCGATTCTGGGGATCGCGTTGCGATTTTTATTTCGCGTTGCGATTTTGTTGGTCATTTTGGCAAATCCAAAAAAAGTTGGTTAAAATCGTATATTATAACTTTTTTTTGGTCACTGAGGCGATTTTCTTATTAATGAATATTTCCTTCCATTTAAGTAGTCAATACATATTAAAATTGAAGTCGATTAACCCAACCAAATGTATCATCACTCCATTTCCATTAATAAAGAAAAATAACAAAGAGGGAAGGGAAAAATGGATCAAATAAATGAAAACTTAATTAGAAACAAAGAAAGAGGAAGAGGAAGTTTCGATGGGTGAAAATGGTTTCAATCTCCATGATCAGCCACATCAACCTTGGTGGTGCAAGACAACAGCCTGCGAAACACGGCCAACAGGGCAGCACAAGACACTTGTTTAGCCTTTCTCAGCGCCGTGCACTTCTTCTTGGGCTTGTTTTGGTTTGTTTCCTTGTTATCAACTCTGCCAAAGCATTTCGTTTTCTTCGCAGGCTGGGCTTCATTCCTGTGAAACGTATGGCTCCTCAGGTACATTTGCCTGCACCGGATGCTATCAACTGCACTGCTGCACCCGTGAGAGCTCAGTGGACTGACGAACTCCGCATCCGATTCCGGCCATTTGTAGAGGTTGACGTATGTTGGCCTGACCGGGACCCTAGTGTCATTGATGCAGTTGGACATGCATGTTGAAGCCATTTCAATGCAGTTGTGAGAGCTCAGGGAGTCTGGGCTCAGATTTCAACTGATAAATATGGGCTGCTTTTGAAACAGTATTTCAGTGAGTGTATGCATGAAGAAACGATTTTTTTATTCTGGGATAAACCAAATCATTTGATTGTTCTGTGGAGGTAGACAAGTATTAATACCAGATTTAGTAGGCATTGTCGTTTCGGATTTTCTTTTCTCTTAAAAGGGAAAATAGAAGATGAACTTCTTATGCCAAACAAATAGGCTGTTTTAAAGTCAAAGATACAAATGAATTAATGGCGGATTCCATTTAGGTTGTGTGACCGTTGAAGGGTCGAAACTTTTCCTTTCTGGAACGGAAGACATTGCTAACCATAACAGGCATCGTTTACAACTGCATCAGCTATACGATCAGGAGATTCATGTTCAAAATTCTTTCTTATGCACCTTCCGATTTAATCAAAAATGGACATTGATCTCTTCGATCATGATCCTATAAGGGGCTATTTCAGGGTAGAGCCCTCACTAACATATACACCCGCCACTGTTCATCCCCATCAGTTGCATGTTCATATAGGGTTCTTAAAAATGCTCAATAAATCGTAGTGACACCCGATATCGTAGAAGAGTTGGTAGACATACATAGTAGGGATGGTTAAAACGATGACCATGCATCAAGTTATAAGGTGGGCATGGGAAGAATGACTATGGGACCATAAAACAATTGCTCTTAGCCATCGTGACATATAGCTTTGTAACCTTTTGGTTATTTGACTTAAAAAAACATTGGAGCCACAGCTTCAAAACTGTCGTTTTCCCAAGCAAATTAAGAGAAGTTTACAGGAACATCAACGCTGGATCTTTGCTCTTCATTATTACAATCATAAGGGATTCCTTTTGTTTAATCTTGTGAAGAATAATAAAAAAAAAAACATAAATTGTAAAATGTAACCCTCACTTGATTTTGGTTTTTGTTCATTATTTTTAATTCTGTACACATTAAAATTAAAATGTAGCACCTGTAGAATTAAAAAGGAGCTATAATTTAATATCAAATTAAAAAGGGCAGGGAATTTGCATCTTCTTTTTGGTGGCATATTTCTAATTTTTATTCAAATCAAAACAAGGTTTTTTTGGTATAATATAAAACATAATGAAAACAATTTTTTTTTAAAAAAATGGAAAAGGATGTAAAAATACTATAAATTTTTAAATTGGATTATTTAAAACATATAAATAGATATGAAAACAGTAAATTTGGACAATGTGGTTGCAGACAGAACAATAAAGAAAAATATGTGAGAAATTCATTTTCACAGTAAACATTTATGGTTTACTTGTTTAAGTAGGAAGCAAGTTTTGTTGCTTTGAGGGGGAGACAATGGTTCCTACAAGAACCCTAACTCAGATGTACACCAGCAGAGCGGAAAAGAAACAAAGAGAGAGTCTCTGTATGACAGAGATTAAGGAGGGAAAGTGTGCCGGTTACCTTGTGTGGTGCAAAAACCGATAATCCGGCAACACGAGAAGTATATACGCCGCTTTTATTTTCTCTTGCTCAGAAGCTCTTGAAATCACGATCTGCAACTGCTCTGTTAGAGTGATTGTAATTCAGCAGTGACGATGCCTTGCTCCTTCGTGAGCTCTCAACATGATTGTCGGGGTCATATTTCTGGGAGGCTAGGTAATTCAGAGCATTAACCAAGTCGGATATGGCCGGACGCAGACTAGGTTGCTCCTGAACACACATTGCAGCAACGGCGAATGCTTGGTAGAGACCTTTCATAGGATATTGACCCTGTAGCTGAGGGTCGGCCATATCCGAAAAATTCCTACGGTCTTTGAACCGAGGCCGTGCCTACAATTCAATAACAAGTTGTAGAACAGATCAAAGCAGCCAATTCAATATGATAATCGGATGAAAGATGAATGGTTCTTAACAGAAATTTAAATGGAAATGTAACCAAATGAAGACATGAAAGTGGAGTAAGTTCCATCATACCCAACTAACAAGATTTTGTTCCCCACGCTCTCTCGAATGGTCGAATGCTTTCCTACCAGTAATTAGTTCCAAGAGGACAACCCCAAAGCTGTAAATATCGGATTTAAATGTCAGCTGTCCAGTCATTGCATAATCCGGTGCACAATAACCATAGGTGCCCATAACCCTTGTAGAAACATGAGTCTTGTCCCCACTGGGGCCAACTCTGGCTAGGCCAAAATCAGAGAGCTTCGAATGATATCCCTCACCAAGCAAAATATTGGAGCATTTCAAGTCACGGTATATGACAGGGGGCTTCATTTTAACATGCAAATACTCTAAGCCCCTCGCTGCACCAGCTGCTATTGCCATCCTTGTGTTCCAATCAAGAGGTTTTTGGTTAGGTTCGAGATCTGCATGCACAAAGGGGACAAACTATCTGTTAAGAAAGATTAAGTCGGTAATCAGCAGGAAATTTTGCTTACCATGTAGATGGTTTTCCAAAGACCCTAATGGTATGTACTCGTAAACCAGAAGTCTTTGTTTGTCCTCAGCACAAAACCCTATCAATTTCACCAGATTTGGGTGCTCAGCTGTACTTAATGTCGATACTTCAGCAACAAATTCCCTCGTCCCCTGAAGACTATCTTGATCAAGTTGCTTAACAGCAACAACCTACATCAGGCATGAAAAAGAAGAGCATAGTAACAACCAGCTCCTAAGAATATAATGAACAATGCATAATCTTTTGTTCAGTTGAAGACAAGAAAATCAACGCAACCTGGTTCGTTTCCTCCAAGAAACCCTTGTAAACTTTTCCGAAACCTCCTTCACCCAAGAAATAATCCAACCTGAAGTTGCCCGTGGCTGCTATGACCTGATCGAATGTAAATGAGTGTGCCTTGGTAGCTTTTCCATCCAAAGAAACCTCAGCATTCAAAGCCAAATTCTTTACACACAACAATAACTGTTCACTCTTGGGTGCTTCTTCCTTCTTTACTGTCTCTTTCGAGGAATCTTTTAAACCACAAGAAAAAGACAATCAGACAAGCCAAAGAGGTTGTTTCGTAATGACCAGAATCCTAAATATCTAAACTAGACAATATCCGACACCGGTAGGGGTTTCTTTCCTAGCATGCAAACAAACAAAAACACCAGCAGCGTGATTATACACATAAGCATATTACAGTTTCACCAGATATATCTAAAAATTTAATAGAAATTCGTTCAGGCACGAAATGTTTAAATGGATTAAGGAATCCAAATTTAGACTTCAAAGTCATTAGCTTGACAATCGGAACCAGATATCGTCTCATCATCAAAACAGAGTAATGCCAATTGAATCCATTGCTTTAGTTTAGGAAGAAAAAGGGCAAATAAACACGTCCTGGAAAATCAAACACAATACATATCATAGGTCAAACAAACATAGAATACCGGGACTGGCGTGTCTTTGGGGTTTGCTTTTATTGCTGCTGTTATCATTCCTTTTGCTCTTCTTGTTTCTTGGGTGCTCTGATTCTTCGCCTGAAATCCCAGAGCACCCGAAACAACCCATGCTCGATACTTTGTTTTCAAACGAGAGACTATTAAATCTTTCCCTCCTTTGTTTCTCTTTCCTCGCGACGGGACAGCGAAAATTTGCACCCCCAACAACAATTACCGTCCAAACAGAAATAAAGACTTGATTTTCAGGGATTTATTTTTGTTTCTATTTTTATAAAATTGTAATTTTAGGTAATTTTCAGTCAAAAACCGATTCAGAGAAACTCGTCGAAGCCTAAGCCTCTAACAACACGCCAATTTAAAATGTTTCTTCCTGGTCAAAACTCAAATCTTGCGAATCGGACAACAAATGGATCGACATCAGCCTGTCATTACGCCTATTCAACTTCAAAAAAGAAATCCATTCATTTCTTCTGTACAAACACATCTATACGCTTACGTGGCAGTATTTGGTTGATTTAGCGGCAAGCTGGTCGTCGCAAATGATCTTTGCCCGTTTTGGATCGGAAAACCAGGATGTCATCTATTTAATATTTATGCGGTGACCCACCTTCACGTTATTTAAAAAATTAAGAATTGTGAATGGAGGAAAATAAATCGCGCTTTTTTTACTATGTTATTTTTAATTAGACTAGTTAGCAGAATCAATCAAATATTTCAGTGATTGAATAAAATATTATTTCAATCAAATATTTCAGTGATTGAATAAAATATTATTTTTTTCATAGATTTCGAATTTAAATAATTACGCTTGTAATATATACTAAAAAGTAGACTAATCAGCAGGCACAACCGGTTCTATTACAAGATATGTGAAATACAACATCAATTGGTTAGAAAAAACATTTCAAAACATTGCTGAATTGCCAAAGGAAAAAGAAATAAACACAGGCGCTGATTATTTATATTATGCCATTATTTATATTAAAACCTAAAGGTGATGATGAATGTATCCAGAAGATTCTTTCAAGTCGTCATATGTGATAATGTATAAAAAGAGTGATGCAAACAAATATATTGACAGAAAAAAAAATTATTATTATAATGTTGTTAATAAGTCATTCAACTACATGACTGGTTGACTTCTAATAAAGAAATAAGGGAAGCATCAATGCAAAACGATGGGCATGGTTTGAGTTTCAGGTGGATCACTGTAAAATGTGACCCGGGCTTTCTTTAACGCGAGTCAACATAAGAAATGGATGGAATTGAAGTTGAGTAGATGAATACCGTTTGATTCAACTGCTAATCTATGATTTGATGCTCATTTCTCATGATAAAATCCACAGCGTCTTCCACAGTGTCAACAACCTGCAACAGTAACAATTAGGTTGGCACTAATGTTCTGGATATGTTGCCAGTTGAAACCAAATGATTAAGCTTCTTATCGAGTTGTTTGGTAAGAAAGGAAAATAAAATTGGATGCCCACCAGATTGGCTGGGAACTCGGGATGATTAGAATCATGATCCCCCTTGAAAACACCAGTCCTTGTCAAAATGGGAAACCAAGGATTTCCGGCCTGGAATGTGACACACTTATCTCTCAGTCTTAATAGCTTTACATCGTACACATAAAAACAGGAAACTGATAATTAGCGGTCCAAGAGAGACAAACCTGCCTAGCACCTTTGATGTCGACTACAGGATTATCTCCTATCATATATAGAGTCTGGAAGTCATGACTTCCAGAATTCACATGGTTCTCACGATACAGGAATGAGGCTAGTTGCGTTAGCACAACTTCAGCATTCTTAAATGCAACTGGATTTGGCTTTCCAAAGTAAGTATACTTCAGAGCTTCAGTATGAATGCTGCATGTTTAATTTAGGGGAATTAACGAAATCTGCCTCTTGAGAATTCCATGGTGATACTCAAACTAATAGGCATTCCATGGGCCCCTAAAAGATAGGCCCCGTGAAAGAATCATTTCCCAAACATTCAAAAGGAAAGCATAGTAATATCTAACTGTGAACTTTGAGTATAGTCATCCGTTTATATGCACTCAACCCTTACCTATTGAAGACGGATTCCATTGCAATTCTGAATGCTCCCATGCCAAAACGTTCAGAAGGAAAAGCACCCTGCCTTTATAAGCATCTTATCAGTGTATTACTACTTGAAAGGAAGGCTCTATCATGAGTAAAAAGCAACTGATTTCTAGAGCATAAATCATAACTGACCTGGTATTTAAGGTCATCATGGGCAAAATACATCGGTGGTTGAGGGCCTTCATCACTTGCAGGAAGACCTCCAGTTCTTAAAATATCACAAAGAACCTAATATTAAAAAGATCTAATGCTACAATTAGTCAATCCAGATTAAACATCAATCAAAAAGTATTCCCACAGAATGTGCATTTATAAGTTTAAATTGTTTAAGGCGACCTGAATGTCCCCGCTCCAATCAACAGAATCACTAACGACAAATGCTGCCTGAACTCTCTCAGAACTAATGCTGCATTTTCTAGTTCTGTTGGCAGCAACTTCCATGGTGCCCCATTTCTTGTGCGGTGCCAGTGGGTCAATGTTGTCAAAGCACAGTGCATACTCATCTATTGAAATTACATTTCTGTATGTAAAATCAAAGGACACAAGCCATTCAGAATTTCTATCCAAAACTTATCAGCATTTTTTAGCAATGCGATCCACATCTCCTATAAGAAATCAAAAAGCACACTCTAAAACTTACTTAAATCCATATTCAGTCATCACAGCAGCAGGTTCACCTTTCCCAACAGCAACAATTAGTTCATTCTCAAACCTGAATGACAATGGCAATGCCAATGAGAAATAGTGACTAGTGAGACAATCAGGCTCCATAACTTAAAAACAAGATGCTTGACTCTAACTTGGACCTTTCCTTTCCTTTAATGAGTTCCCTACAAGTTAACAATTATCACCAAGAAAAAGTACACCATTATCCTTGAAATTTTCCAACAAATACATGCAGCGTCATATTTGCTACAACATTTTGGAGGAAACTAAGACCCCTAGTAAACAATAAATCATACCTGGTCACCAGCTGTTTAAAAGGTGAATGACCCTGCAAGACCTGGAATGAATTAACATTATTTTTTGTCAGCCAACACTCCCGCCATCGACAAAGCTTTCTCAATAAAAGGAATGGAGGAATATGACCAACTTCAAAGGATATAACCTGTGATGAAGAAATCTTTACACCCAGGAGTTCTGACAACTCCGCAGCTCTTTTTGATTCATGAACACCGCCCCCTGTAAAAATTGTTGGAAACAACAATATTCAATTGAATATGCTGCCTTATTCATGACTTTGAAAACATGAAATCATAAATAAAACCTATGATGATTTTGTTTTTTTGCTGCCAAAACCAAAAGTGATTTTAAACCCCTATGATGCTCTAATTTGGGAGTGTGCATATTTATAAGTTTTCTATACATTTGAGGATCATATCCTCCAAATATGTGCCAGACACAACAGTTTAGAGAAAATGAACTATCTGGATAACAAGATTTTCCATAAAGGCTAGCTATTTAGGATCCAATCCATTACTTATTAATACAATATTCACCACCAATTGCATGCAAAACTTATTAATTACAAAGCTCACTTGCAAATGATGATTGAATGAGTAACGGAAGTAATTGACTAAAAAGTAGTGAAATATAGCCAGACCCAGCCATTTAACAACCAAAGTGATACATGGAAAGGATTTTTCACTTAAGTGCTTGATGAGTAAGTAGCATATCTAAGTTTAGATACAAGAAACAAGAAGAAACTATGATCGATAAATGAGCTTTGAGGACAAACTAACACACAGAACTAACTCACCATTAGTCAAAAACACAAAAGGAACCTTCAGAGCACCTGTCCAACACAATGAGCTAATCAAAGTTAATCTAATGTTGTTCCACAAACATTAATTAATAACCAAATACAGATAATTAATTCTAAACAAGGTTTTCTTTGATTGTACTTTAACTACTTGTGCATTTGCAAAACAAAAGAAGATTATAGTTTAAGAAAATTACTAATTTTTAAATTGATAAATAGTAAAAATTAGCAGTTTGTAATCCCTTTTAGATTCCCGCTTTTCATTAATTTAAGAAAGAAAAGGTAAAAAATTATAATTTTAGAGCCAAAAAAAAGGATAAAAGGGAAAACTAAAACAAAACAGAAACATGAAGCAGTCAGATACCGATCACAACCTTAACAAATAAAGTTTACATTTTAAATTCAAAAAATTAACCATGCGAATAGGCATATACGAGTATGTGTACATACCCGAACCGTCGTATAATCTCCTAAGTGCTCGCGGAGCGCCACCAATAGGAGTGGTGCCGCGCAAAACGACGCCGTCTAAATCGAAAGCAATTCCAAAAGATGGCCTGCTAATTTCGTTGGGGAAAAATGCAAATCAAATGCATAGAAAAAGAAACAGTCATAAAAATTAAGAAAAATAAGGATAGGAACGCACGGCTTGGATTGTTGCGTAGATATTTGAGAGATTGTTGAAAAAAGCTGCGACAGTTGCTTTCTCGATCGACTATGCGAAGATTTTCTTAACACTTGAAGATAAATCATCGTGTCCCCCCTCCCCCTTTTTGAAGTTTTCAGTGAATTTAGCGTCACACAACGACAGTTGAAAAGTGAAAGAAGAAAATGGAAACCTTATTTACAAAATTAAAAATATTTTTGCTGGGCATAATATTGAAATTAGAAACTTGATTTCTTTTTGGTGTATTTACCACAAAAGAAAGTTAATTACTTTAAAATATTAAACTCATTATAAATATAGATTACTGATATCAGCGAAAAATAATTTCATAATCTGTATATAAATATAATTATAATTATTTAATTATAAAAACATATAATATTATTAAAGCACGGTTTCTAATTTTTTATTAATTATTTAAATTAGAAATAAAGACAATATTTATTGTACAAAGGTTTTCCCATTTCGGCCTTTTTCATTTTGGGTCAATTTCCCTCTTAGGCCTACTGTTATATCCAGTTTTATTCAATGAAGATTTACCTAGCTCGAATAAAATAGTTAATATAAATTATGATACAGAATAAAAGTAATATAAATATAAATATATATATATAATTACAACAAAAGAAATTATATAAGCATATACAACACCCCAAACTCAAATGATCACGTGCGGCCGTCTTAATATACGGCTAAAAAAATGAGCTATCGGTTTTATTATTATTGGGAGCTTTATCGGTTTTGGTAAAGCGCTACCGGTTTTGTTATTTTTTCTATCGGTTTTGTTATTGTTGGGCAATTTACCGAAAATGTTAATAAACATTGATGTTTTAGGTAGAAATAATAATGGTTTAGGTAATTTTTTTTACCGATTTTATTATTTAAATAATAACAAAACCGATAATATATTTTATTAGTTGTATATTAAGGGCGTCGTCATGTAGAAGTTCCCCCAGTGTTGTATTATAATGGTCAAAAGCTTCCAATCATTCATTTACAATGCATGTGCAATATGGTTGGAATTTAGCTCAGTTATAGACATCGTTAGCTTCAACTGCTTCATTGAAGTAGGAAAGTTGAGACAATCAATGAGCAATGTAATGATCCAAAGAAAAAAAATCATGTTGATTAGTTATCGTATAGGCTTGTAAGCACTCGCTTTTCTTTGCTCTATCTCACACGGATTTGAATCAATATTAAATTTAAATTGGGTTAATCCAAGCTCAACTTCAAAGGACAATCCAAAATTAAATCTCAAACCCTAAAATTTGATCCCAAACTAAACCCTGTTCGACGCTTGTCTCTAACCATTTGTCGTCAATAAACTCTATTATCGAGAGAAACCCTCTCCCATCCTAACACAGCCGTTGACTGCCCCCATCACCTTATTCTAGGGGATGGGCATGGGCCGGTTGGGTTGAATTTTTGGCCAGCTCGACCCGACTCGAAAAATATACTCTCTATTCAAAATTCAACTCGGCTTAGGTTTAGGGTGACTTTATTTGACTAAAACTTGACTAGGTTTTTTGAGATAAAATTCGAATCTGACTAAAAAAAATATACACCTTCTACCCAAAACTCGACTCGACTCAAGTTTAGGGCGACTTCACTTCACTTGACCTGAACCCGACCCAAAAAATATATATTTATAAAAAAATACTTTTATTTGATAAAAATAGGAATCTAGTTGGAAAAAAAAGAGATATATATTTACAATTATCCCCGAATATATAAAGTATAATTATATTATTTTTCGGGTCAGATATTTTTCAACCTAAACTCGTATCTAATCCAACCCGAACATATACTCTAAAATACCCGATTCAACCTTAACCTAAGCCAATTACTTTGTCCCTGGAAAACAATATGCATGATGTTTATGTTCTTTTAACCAGCATCCAGCTCAGGTGACTTGATATTTGCATTATACTTATCTATGGTGCTAGCCAGCTCAAGTTTCATTGGGTGGGTTCAGTGCTATGGTTGGTAGGAATCGGAGGATAAAGGTTTGCGTGGAAAATCTTCAGTCATTGAGGACGACACAACATCCCGGAAATGTGTCTTGGTTGGAGGATGTAATCAGTTTAAATACTACAAGGTATAAGCTGTTCTTGGTGGTCTGCGTATGCTCGTCGTATGTTGTGGTCACTTTGACATCATTATCAATGGTCAAGCTTGTTTTGGTCTTATTGGTTGGTTCTCTAGAAACAAAATGCAAATTCACTCGATGATATTTTTTATCAGTCTGCCTTATGATAAATGCTATATTATATTTCTTAATTTGTAAAACAAAGTTAAGAGACAATAAATGATGAACATGTAACCAACCATACTACAATTGTTTACCAAATAGAATTTTACATATCACAGTTATTATACTAAAACTTATCACCTAATGTGTTGTCAACACAGTGTAGCAAAGCTATTGTATCAAATTGTCCCCAAAAGCAATTGACATTCACTTCTTAGACTTTCCTTTAAATATGGTCTCCTTGAAGTATTTGAGTTCTAATATGCTCTCTCTGATATCATCCATGGCTCTGTGTTTCTTTTCTTTGCCAGGGGCTTTCTTTTGATCTGCCATATATGATAAGATTACAATATTTTTTTTAACAACAAAAAAATGATGCAAATTTTACAGCAAAGAGCGTGATTTACCTCTTGGATACCAGCGAATGCAAAGAGCCCTTACACTACTCACATCAACAACTACATGAGAGAAGAGACTAGCCAAATCTGGCATATATTTCTGCAAAATAGTTGACACCTCAAATCGTGCCAATAATAACCAAGGGCAAAAGTTATCAAGAAACCAAGAATAGAAACGAAATAAAGGCCAAAGAAAGATTTCTTAGTCTGTCAAGCACCTTTCATAATTTATGACACCAACTTCAAGAAAAAGAATCAACATATCAAAAGAATATCAAATATAGAACTTGATAAGCAACTCTCACAAAAGAAAATAAACTCCACCTTCATCTTCTACAGAATGCATGCAATTGCTCATTTTAGAACCCAGCAGAAAATTATTAAAGCAAGAATAAGGGGAAGTTTATGAAAATCAAAGACAACTTAGCCATTCTAAGTAGAGCGGAGCAGAAAAAAGATTAATAAGATCAGACCTTTTTGCTATTTTGAACATTATCATGTAATGGCCCATCAAACCAAACTCATGGCCATCATTTGGACGTTTTAAAGGAGCAAATATTAGGGTTTGTTTCAACTTTGAATCAGAAGTGAAAGTGATATGAATTGCCTAATTACCTTTAGAAAGAGAAAATCCATATAAACAGAATTTCCAGCTAAATGAGGTGTGTATGTACCGACATTTCGCTTCACAAATTCTATGACCTGCACCAACAAAGAACATAACTGCAAACCTTTGCACGCAAAAAAGGGTACATCCTACTAGAATTCCTATGTTTAAAGCATAACAATTGGTGCGTTCTTACTAAACTAAGATAATAAAATCATGCCACTTGATGATCTTCTTACTCACCTGCTTTTCAGCTTCTCTTTCACTAATTGTACTTTGAAGCACTTTCTTTGTCAATCCTAAAATAATGGAAGGTTATTAGTAATGGTTCCCAATTTAGTATTGCATAATGCAGAAAGACAGCTAAATAATTAAAAGTTACATATCAGAACACAATTGATCTTGAAACTCATACCACTAGCTGCATGATGATTTTGACACCATTCCCCCATTCTATCTAAACACTCTTTAGATTGATGAATAACCAGATCAGGACCCTGGAACAAGAAAATATTCTGAATTATAACTTACACATACCACATTTGTAATGATGTGTTTTCTTCGAAAGTATGTTAGACTCATATGTGAGCCTCGAATATGAGCAATTTCTCAATCAGATATCTTAAAGTATTTCAAAGTTTTAGCATGTATTTGGAAGATTCTCGGAGATCAATCATCATATCCCATGCTGATGTCTGGGGGAATTTGGGAAAAAGTGCTTAAATGCTTATCCTAAATCAAGAACATAAGCGAGAGAGAGAGATACCTCCAATGATTTGGCAAGGATTTCCATCTGTAATTATACAAGCTATCTCCAATATTCTATCAACCTCAATATCCAAACCTACATAGATGATATGAATGGCATTCTTAATCCACCACTGGAGTAAGAAAAATTAGTGATAAACAGCATTTGGTATTCTTACCAGTCATTTCCAAGTCAATCCACACAAGGGGTAACTTGTAGTTCTCGGAAAGCGATGCCGATTTCAGTTCAGTTGAGCCCTTGCCATTTCCTTTGCTCTTACCTGTAAAGGGAAGGCAAACATCACTCAATGAGAAATAACATCGGATTACAGTCTACAGCAAAATACCTTTCAGTTCATCACCATTTTCTTAATGCCCTAAATTAGATATTAAAAATCTTTCCACAGAATCAATCAATTTAGATTAAATAGAAGTACACCCCCTAAATCCAAATGATTCAAAGAAACAAATTCCTTCCGAGGACCTTAAAAATACCCTAAACTCAAAGGCAGTGAATGAAGACCGAAAGAAGATAGGAAGACCTGGAACTTTGGCAGCGGAAGGGGGGTGATGGTCTTCGACGTCAATCTCCAGCACCGAAAACACATTCGATAGGTTGTCCATGTCTCTGACAAGCTTTTAGTTCAATTTGAAACCCCAAATCAATTTACCGGCGATACTCCGGAATTTCAGTTGTGCTCGGGTTGAGCCAAAACCCTACGCTCGTAGCACACACATAAAATGATAAAAGTAATAATTCAATGTTATATGATATTTAGATTTAGTAGACAATCACATGTTTCATAATTTCAAAATTTGGAATTTAAGTTTATCTTAAAATTTTAAATTTAAATCTTTTATAACTCTATAACTTCCTACGACGTAAAGTTAATGAATTTTACATTAATTCATAATCATTAAATTTAAATAAATAAATGATTTAAATTTAATTAAAATTTATAATTCATAAATAAAACTTTTTTAACCACAGTAAAACAATAATTTTTTTACCTCAATCTTAAATTATAAATGTTAAAACCCGAAACCTTAAAATCATATACCCAAATCCTCAATTTCAAACATTAAACTTCAAATCCTAAAATATAAACTCTAAATTATAAATCATAAACACTAATTCTAAA